GGGCTGGGCGGGGCAACCATTGGGGGGCTGCAGCAACTGGTGGGGGATGGGGCAAGGTGGGGCAGCAATTGGGGGGGCTGGGGTGGGGCATGTGGGCCTGTCAAGGGGTGTAGTAGCCCCTGTGGGAGCCATTTGGCCCCCGTTAGGGGCCATAATCCTTGTGTGGGGGCTGAATCCCCTGTTGGGGCCTGTACCCCTTGTTTGGGGGTTGAAACCCCTGTTGGGGGGGCATACCCCCTGTTGGGGGGGCAAACCCCTTGTGTGGGGGCCATCGCCCTGTGGGAGTGCAGCAAAACGTATTCATGAATTCATGAAACATGCATTTAGCGTTCACTTTATTATTATGATAAGAGACTTGCTTTAACACTGTAAGATATATCAATAAAACATTGTCCAACTGATCACTGTCTCTGTGTCATTCTCTGTCTTTATAGTGGTCTTTTGTTTTACTTGTGGAGGAACATGGATTTGGGGCTATTTTACAGAGTGACTTTGGGATTTTTTTATCAGGGATTTTTCAGTTTTCCAATACAGAACATCTGAATTCCTGCTAAGGAGGCCAGTGGCAGGACCCTGCTTGCTCAGAGCTGGCACCTTGGACCTATCTGGCTGTGGCCTACCTCCTGGACAGATGGGGCCAGGAGGACCTGCTTTGACAATTCAAAGCAGGCCACCACACCCAGAACATCTTCTGGGTGAGAGCTGCCCAGATGACTGGGCAGGGGGCACAAATGGCAGTAGTGCCACACAAAGGCCAACTCTGCAGCCACAGTCCACTGGCAGCTGGCCCAGAGGGGCAGATGCCTCTACTGGCTGTGCAGTCCCCATCCGAGTCTGACAGGTGCACAACAGGTCACAGCGAGGCAGCAGCCCCCACTGCCAGACTGCTGCAGTAGTGGGTAGAGGGTGCAGGGAACTCTCAGGGCTGCTTCAGCAGTCCAGCTAGCACAAGGGGTAGTTCCCCAGGTACCAATTGGCTGGGCTCCAGAAGCTCCTGAGAGCTAGTAGCCCTGAGCTACTTGCCAAGGCGGCTTTTTATACTGCTGGGCCAGGACAGGGCAGCTTTTTATATTGCTGGGGACAGCGTAGGTGCTGGCCCCAGGCTCTAGCATTCCCTGGCTGAAGATCCAGGAGGAGCCAGGCAGGGTTATTTTGCCCCAAGTAGCACAGTTTGCTCTGCAACAAAGTGCATGTCCGAACACGTGTGCTGAAGCAAAAATCCCCGGCTCAAATTTGCACCACTTCTATTTCAGCTGCTGCAAGCTCACATGCTTGCATGTGTGGACGCACCCTATGAGTTTTCATGGAAATAATAATAATTCTGTATAGAACCTTGTGTTTCTCTTTAATAAGCAGTGACAAAGACAGGGGATTTTAGGGTGCAGTGAAAGGTTGTAGTGCTTGCACCATGACTGGGGGGTTGATTTTGTTGCCTTGATTAACCCCAGTTTTATGAAGTACCATGTCTTTATCATAGAGGTTCAGTATGAATCAGTCACTGAAGAATACTTTGGTATGGGTTTTTTGTAACTGAATGCTAAAACTAATATATTCGGTCTTATTTTCAGGTAAAGAGCATACAGGATGCTATAAGAGACAAAAAACAACACTTCAGCTTCCTTGGAGAAGAAATTAATTTAGTACCCTCTGTGGGTATTTTCATTACTATGAATCCTGGTTATGCTGGACGAACTGAGCTACCTGAAAACTTGAAAGCCCTTTTCAGGTAAAGTCAGACAAGCTTTTGGACTCAGCGTGACAATATTTGAAGAAGTAACTTGTTACTGTCTTCAAGCAAGTCCAAACAAACCATATTTCACTGTTGTTCCAATTCACTTTTAATGAGAGTTAATTGACATCTCATGTCTTGGACAAATTATCTTGGTTTCTAAACATATAAGGAAGATAAATTGGTAGAATTTTCTGAGACACTGTGACAGGGGCAAACTCCCAGGTCTGATCTCAGTATCGGCCTGCCACCTGTTTATGGCCAATCTGCCCACCTCATTCGCCTGCCACACCTTGTTGTTAATTGATCTAGATATTAATTAGGCAGGAGGCTGCCTTTTGAGTGCCCTGATGTACAAGGGCAATAAGTACATGCTCCTACCTTCCCTTAATGTGTCCCATGTGTTGCAGATAACATATTGTTTGTTCTCTCTCCAGCTTAAGGCCAGGCCAAACTCAGCACATAATTCAGCCTCTTACACAACACCCTGTTAAGGGCCACATTCATACCACCCCTCTCTCACTGGGGCCTCTAGTATACTGCCTGTCCCTGGGCCACACTCACTCTGTCCTGCTCCTGTGAGCGACCCCGGAGGGCCATCAGGCTTGTCTCTTCATTCCTTGGGTGGCCCTAGCTCAGCCCCTTAGGTCTCTCCCGCTACCCTCATCTGAGCAATTGCCAGTCAATTCACCAAACTGTGGGCTAACTTTTCCCCTAGCTCCTCACTGAACCACATTGCCCCTTCCTTGGGTCAACACTCTGCCCTTACTCTGAGGCCCTGGGGTTGAACATCAGGCTCAGGTGCTTCCCTCTAAGAATGTCTGGCCCTAAATCCACCCTCTCACTTGGGCCCAGGGATGAATACCCCCTGCAGGCTCAGGTATCCACTCTGAGCATGCCTGGCCCACCACTCTCAATGACCTACCAGAGGTTGGGGCTGGGGTTAAGGCGCCTTTCACTGGGGAGGTTAGTGGTCCTGGCATTTGAATGGCACTGCTCTGGCACAGGCAGTCCCACCAGGCTTCCCTGCCCCAGCAGGGTGCAGTTTCAGGTCATGCCCAGGACCATGGGGCCTCCTCCTTCCCCATAGCCCCACTCTTACCTCCAAGATGTTCCTGGAACAGTAGCTTGGCTGGTTGATATTACTCCCTTACTGTCTGGCAGCAAACTGCTGCCCCAGCCCTAAGAGCTCAGCTCTAAAAGGGCCGCCTTAATCAAGCACCTGTCAGCTATCTGCTCCAGCCCTTAAAGCAATGGAGCACTGAAGCTCCATCACAGATATTAAAACAATATTTAAGGGATTGGTGAACTCTGCAAAATAGGAATCCATTGCAAATCTGCAAACTCTTTAGCCATTCAAATCTGCCTTGGGCTGGTAGTGAAAAAAGATTGCTACGTCTTGGCTGTTTGGTGACTCTGTAAACTGAGTTAGCATTGTAGGTTTAGTGACACAATATAGATGCCACCATCTTAATTAATACTTATGGTCCCCCTTTTAATCTCAACGAAGGGGCCTAATTGCCTTAGGTCTCATCTCAACCTAATGGTGACCTTTTCCCACCAGGATTGGAGACTACCTTGATGACCATTATGTAACCTAGGCTTGGCATGACCTCTACCATACTCCATACTCCATACTCTACTATATTCTTTCTAGATTGGGAAGAGATTTAGGACAAGTTTTTAAGAGGTGCATAGGCACCTGTGGCAGGGCACTGTTTGTACCTGCCACTTTAAGACCTAAACCAAGCAGCCAGCAGGTACCTGATTGCAGCAGCCATTTTAGATTCCGGGCTGCCTATATAAACAGGGCATTTTGCTGCTGGCAGGCCAGGCAGCAACATTGCCTGGCTGAAAGACTTCATGGAACATCCTGGAGGTAAGGGCAGAAGCTGTAGGGGATGGACTGGAGGCTTCTGGTCCTGGGCATGACCTAAAACTGCACCCTGCCAGGAGTGGATGGCCTGGTGGGGGATCTCAGTGATGCGGGAGTCCCCAGGAAATGCCAGGCCAGTTACCACCCCAGTGAAAGGCAGGTTGGGGTGCCTTAACCCCAGCTCCCACAACCGGGTGGGTTAACCCTGAATAGGGGCCAGAAGGCAGACCCCAGGAATGAGAGTGGGGCTAGAGTGGTAGAGGTCTGACAGAGAGTACCCTCAACTTGTCAGGGTGGGGGCCACGACCAGAACAATCAGAAGGGCCAGGGGCCCACCACAAGGGACACCCAGAGCTGGAGGCCTGGGGTTCTGACTGGCCTTGGAGGTGAGGCCAGGGCCTGTGTGGCCAAAGGTTCTGGGGGGACCACGCCCGAGAGAGGAAATGGTTCCAGGGAGCCAGGCAACCCAAATGAAGGCGGGGTAGGCCACCTGAATGGAGGGATCTTAGGGGGTCCTGATGGGAGGATTCTGAGGCCCAGTACAGGGGCCAGTGAGAGTAACAGGTGGATGCCATCTGCTAGGCATGGGCTGCGGTGTAGGGGAGGTACGGAGCCACAGATAGCACCCTCTGGCATCGGGGCAAGAAAATGGGCAGCCTCCCGCCTAATGAAGATCATTAATTAATTAATAACAAGGCCTGGCAGGGGAGAAGGTGGGTGGTTGGCCCAAAAACAGGTGGGTGGGCCGAAGGTAAAATCGGCTCCGAGAAGGCCCCCTGTTACAGCACCTAAGGGTACAGTTAGTGCTTGTCTGCATCTCTGGTAGGTAAATATCTTAAAAAACCCTAGTCCTTGGTGTCCTGAGTACTCAAGTCAGCAAGTTTCTTCACAGTTATCAATAAGACACCATCACCCTCTGATCTTAGACATGGTAAGCATTTTGAACTATTAGTTTTCATGAAGATTCATCCTGTAGCCATTTTAGGAAGCCAATTCTGTATCTGTATCTCATTATTTTTATGAACTTCCCTCTATAGTCTTAGCCATAAGTGGATCTAGAATTTTGAAAAGGGGAGTGCAGATGGGGAATTGCATCATTACATATAAAACACCTTTTTCTTCAGTTAAAAATAAAGTAGAAGCTTTATTAATATGTTAGAGGTCTAGGACTGTATTATTTGGTTAAGGACTGAAGGAAAAACAAATATAACTTTGTTGGAATGGGTTAGAAACAATCTGCAGGGATGTGAAATAGGAACATCATTAGCAGGAGGAGCTAACAAGCAGCAGAATTACAGAACAAAGGATAGCTTGATTGGTAGACCATTAAGACCATTAAAAAGAACAAAGGGTTATTAAAACCTGTATTCCACAGGGTTAGAAGCGATCAGGGAGATTACAATGAGTCATGGAGTCAATTGACTCCCTCAGCAGTACCTGACTAGGAATGCTGCTGCCAATGCTAGGCAGCTGATTTTAAACTTTGCATGGAGCAGGACTCATAGTTTCATAGTTTCATAGTTTCAGGGTCGGAAGGGACCTAATAGATCTTCTAGCCCGACCCCCCGCCAGGGCGGGAGAACAACCCAAAAAAAAAACACCCTAAAAACAAAAACCGGACTCAAATGAGTCCAGCCAGGTAAGTATCCAGCCTCTTCTTAAAGATCCCCAGGGTAGGGGCCAGCACCACCTCCCTTGGAAGTTGGTTCCAGCTCCTAGCTGCCCTAACTGTGAAGTAGTTTTTTCGGATGTCCAATCTGTACCTCCTCTCCATCAACTTGTGCCCATTACTCCTTGTTATGCCAGCGGGGGCTAGGGGAAACAGCGTCTCCCCCAAACCCTTCTGGTTCCCCCTAGTGAGTTTATAGATGGTCACCAGGTCCCCCCTCAGCCTTCTCTTGTGGAGGCTGAATAGGTTCAAGTCCCGCAGTCTCTCACTGTAGGGTCTGCCCTGTTGTCCCCGGATCATGCGGGTGGCACTCCTCTGGACCCTCTCCATGTTGTCCACATCCCTCCTGAAATGGGGCGCACAGAACTGGACACAATACTCCAGCTGCGGCCTGACCAGCATCGCATAGAGGGGGAGGATCACCTCCCTGGCTCTACTCGAGATGCACCTGTGGATGCACGACAAGGTCCTGTTAGCCCTGCCAACCATGACCTCGCATTGTCGGCCCATGTTCATCTTGGAGTCAATAATGACACCAAGATCCCTTTCCGCCTCCGTGCTCTCAAGTAGGGAGTTCCCCATCGTATAAGTGTGCTGCTGGTTCCTACTACCCAAGTGCAGCACCCTGCACTTGTCCGTATTGAAACACATCCTGTTCCTGTTTGCCCACCCCTGTAACCTATCCAGATCCTTCTGCAATCTCTCTCTCCCTGCTAGCGTGCTCACCTCCCCCCAAATTTTGGTGTCATCAGCGAATTTAAACAGGTCTCAAAGAGGGTTGAAAGTGTATTAGTGCACCCTGCCTTTGATCCACCCCTGGTCTTGACACTGACAGTTTCAGACTAAAAAACACATTGTTTCATGGCGAGAACAAGGCTCAGGTAAATCCAGCTGGCTGGGAAAAGTGTTTATCCTGAATTTAACAGATTGGCCTATGATCCAGTATTGCATCTTTATGGGCTTTGTATTTTATATAGTCCCCCCAAATCAAAATCAACACTAACCTCGACTACCCTTCATCGTTAGAATGCTGCAATGCGTGTCACTCATTTGTGCAAAAAAATGTCTATTTTGTGGTTTATATATACTGTTTGTACTTAAAGAGACAATGTCATTCTATTATATTTTCTCTATCTTTGTATGTAGGCCATGTGCAATGGTTGTGCCAGACTTTGAGCTGATTTGTGAAATCATGCTGGTGGCTGAGGGATTCATTGAAGCCCGGCTGTTAGCCAGAAAGTTCATTACTCTCTACCAGTTATGCAAAGAGCTCCTCTCAAAACAAGTGAGTCCACTGCAGTGGGTTTCAAATCTAATTAAATTTCTTGATCTCTTAATAACCAGAAACACTAGGGGTGATATTCTCCTTTAAACTCTAAGACTTGACTGAAGTTTGTATCAACAGATATACAAGATTTAATTTAATGAATATGTTTAGGCTGAAAATTAGGTAAACATTTCTGTTTATCAAAGCAACGAGGTTCTGGAACAGATTCCACTAGGAGTACTGTGGTAACCCCTCAAACAACATTGTAAGGTGGCAGGAGGAAAGGGTTTGTATCCAAAAACCAATCAGAACAAAGGAAGGAATGTCCCATATTAAAACTGTAGCCAATAGGCTAATGACATTATCAGGATCTGAAAATTCTTGCTGCTCCTTTTGGCTGAGTCTGTCATAGTCTACCTCAGCCATAGCATTTCTGATTTCTGAGCTGATAGGACTAGGGGAAAATTGGAGTTCCCTGCAGCGTAATGCTCCTAGAGCTGTGGATCTTCCCTGCACAATTTCAGATCTAGAGGAGCACTGGATGAAGCAGAGAGGGTAGTGGACTAGGGAGGATGGGGATAGAGTAGAGAAGATGGCTTGGGTCTCATCTCAACTTCCCCTTGTGTATTGTACAATCTGACTATTATACTGGCTGATTCCTGTTGAAGGAGTCTGGTCTTGGAAATCCTTCCAGGAGCCAGATACGTGTCCTGCAGTGAAAACTATGTTGATAGTAGAAGATTGAGATGAATTGTGGCTGTTGGCTTGCATGGCATTGTGGCTGTTTGAAAGTACTATGCTCAGGTTCTGGCATGCTAACTAAGTATCAGTGACTCATTTCATTCTGGCTTTAGGATCACTATGACTGGGGCTTGCGTGCAATTAAGTCAGTTCTAGTTGTTGCTGGATCTCTTAAGAGAGGTGACCCAGATCGGCCCGAAGACCAAGTTCTTATGCGCTCTCTTCGTGACTTCAACATCCCTAAGATTGTGACAGATGACATGCCAGTGTTCATGGGACTAATTGGAGATCTTTTTCCTGCTCTCGATGTACCCAGAAAGCGAGACTCGAATTTTGAATCATTTGTGAAACAGGCTGTGTTAGACCTAAAACTGCAAGCTGAAGACAACTTTGTGCTCAAAGTAAGTGGGGAAAAAATCATCCATATCCACTCAAACTTTCATTGAAACTTTATCATTTTCTAGGCCAGGGTAGTCTAGCTGGTGGCCCATGGGCTGCATGCAGCCCCTGAAGGGTTGGAATGAGGCCCACAAGCATGGACTCCAGGCACAGCTGCCACTCCCTCACTCCCTCACTCCCTTGGCTGTAGCTCCTGCTACAGCAGCTAGGTTATTGGGGTTCTCCTTCCCTCCCCTGGCTTCTACTTTCTTCGGGCAGCCTGATGTGAGGCAACATAATGGGAGAGGGCTGGGGTGCCCATGTTTTGTGCGTGTTGAGGGAGGGTGCAGGGCTGTTTGCACTATGCACAAAAAAGGCAGGAGCCAGCCAGCCCACACTGCAGGTGAGTGTAAGTCTGGGAGGGAAGGGGAAGCTGGGCTGCCCTTATGCCCTGCACAGTTGGGAGAGGAGAGCCAGGTTGTTTGTGCTGTGTGCATAGTGCTTGGGGGCAAACTAGGCTGCATGTGCAGCAGGAGAGAGCCTTGGTTTGTCCCAGCTGTCCAGAAGTCAAATAGCCCTGTTGTAGGCCATTCTTTGGTTTTAGTGTTCCATGCAATATTCCCATTTTACCCTGCCTGAGGAATATTAGACTGTGGTATTTCTGACACTTACACACAGGACGCTGACAAACATCCCCCCCCCCACCCCCCCCCGCCAAAAAAAGAAAAAAAACCCAAACAAAACAAAAAACCCAAACACAAACAAAAAAACCCAAGCATCCAAACCCAGCACAAGCTGGAAGAGTAAGTGCATTAGTTTGACGTGGCTCCCCAGTGTCTATATAGATTGGGTGCTTCAGTGGGGCTTCTTGGCACTTTTATATAAAAGCTGATTGAATCAGCTTTTAGATAAAAGCACTAAAAAACCCTGCTGAAGTGTGCAATCTATATGACCTTGGGCAAGCTGGGTCAAACTAACACGATGCGTCTTCTGGGCATGTGCTGTGAATATGTTAGCATCTACACAGCTGCTGAGCACAGGCAGTAGGATAATGGGCATAAGTCCCAGAATTGTACTGGACAAAAAAATAACTGGCTGGGAGCAAAGGTTATCTTATTAAAAGTTTTAACAACTGAATAGTTGGTGCATTTGCCAAGGAAGTGGGAGACCCAGATTCTAGACCTTCTCACACAGAGAGGGCTTGAACCTGCATCTCTGACTTCCAAGCACACTGGTTGAATCATCATGTGGCAAGTTAAGCATTATATAGGTTCCTTTTCTAGCACTTCTTTAAAGCTGGACCCTGGGGCCCTCAACAGCAAGAGCTATGTGGGGCTAGGACGAGGAGCAAAAGCTAGTAGGTTTGTGCCTTAATAAATTGTCTGCTGCCCTAGAAGGGAACGGGCCCTGTATTTTAGCCTGGACACCTGCTCCCATTGGGGCAAAAATGTTCCCTTTCCTTTTACACATAGGAAACATAAGAATACGATTTTTCTCTCCTGGGGGACTTATGCATGTGTCTAACTGTACCTGCCTTGCCACTGTGCAGGGGTGGATCACTGTGGCGTGGGGTGTTGAAGTTGCACCCTCCTTTAATTCCTTGGAGTGATTCAAGCATGGCCATGTACCCCATGCACCCACCATCTGAAGCCCCCTTTCCAAAATCCTAAGGTGTGTCTACACATGCGAATGTTATGGAGGGGTTTACTCTACAGTAAATGACTCTAGAGCAGGGGTTCTCAATCCCTGGGCTGTAGCCTGGTGCCGGGCCACAGTGGGTTGGCTGCTAGTCTGCAGCACAGTCGGCTGCTGGACCAGAAGTGGCTGCGGACCGGAAAACCACGGCCCCCAAGAGCCAGGCAGAAGACCGTTGCTCCTTCTGTAGGGCCTGCAGCAGCATAGGGTTTGGCCCACCCACCCACCCATGGGGTTGGGGGGTGTCTTTACCTGTCTTCCAGCTGGAAATTCTGGCTGTGGTTGGCTGTGACTGCTGGGCCACGGTTTGCTGGGTCATGGCATGAAAACTTTGGGAACGCCTGCTCTAGAGTAAGCCCACCCTGGGCAGGTGTCTACACAAGCAGGGATGTGGTAGCAGATTTGCCGCTCCTGGCGGCAGTCTTCTCCCACCCACTCCAGCCCTGCACCAACCCCCTGCAGCAGCCAGGGGGAGCTCTTGGCTCCCACTGGGTGCTAGCCCACGGGCTGACTGGGAGCACAGGGCCAGGAGACAGCTGTCTCCTGGCGGGGGCTGCGAGATTGTGCCTTGCCTCCAGGAGCTGCCTGCTGCAAGGGTGGGCTCCGGTGGTGGAGCCTGGGTGGAGACAATGTCCCCCTGCCCCAGCAACAGGTAGCTCCTAGCCCTGACTCCCAAATCAGGAGTGGGGGGCTTGGAAAGAGCTGCAGGGGAGGGACAGGTCCCAGCCTCCTGCCCCAATATGCTGGTGGGGCAGCTAGCAGCAAGCCCCTGGCTGGGCAGGGATTCTCCACCTAGCCAGAGACTCATTTCTAGCTGCCCCACCAGCAGATGGGGTAGGGAGCATGGATCTGCCCCTCCCCTACAGCTCTTTCCAAGTCTTGCACCTTGATTGCCTGATCAGGGCACGGGGCTGGGACCTGCCTCCGGCTGGGACAGTTCCTGGTCAGCCCCGGGCTGTGCTGGGAAGTCTGCACGTGCAGCCTGGAGCTGGCTGGGGAGTGCTCATAGGTGGCAGAAGAGTGGGGGGGGAGCTAATGGGGCTTGTTCCCTCTAAATATGGGGCAGTAGTAGGACCATAAGGCAGCCCAGCTGCAGGCTTCCAGTGGCTGCAGCAGGGGTGGGGAGGGGGATGCAGGCAGTACTGAGGGAGGAAGTGGGGATAGGGGTGGGGGAGGGGCAGGCACCCTGGGAGGGGCGTGGGACTGAGCCCGTGGCGGGTGGGCTGCAGCTGCAGGCTGGGGCTGGGCTCTTTCCAGCGGAGGGAGGAAACGGTGTGGACTACACTCCGGGTGGGTGGCGGCAGCACTAGAAGGGGATTGGAGGGGGCTACAGCCACTCCAAAATTCGCCATAGCCCATGCAACCATCCTCCTAGCGCCACCGCTGCCCGCTGAGAGTGCAGTGCACCTGCCCTGCCCCCAGCTGGGAATGCCCAGCACTGCCTGACCCCAGCCTGCAGTGGCAACCCACCCTGCCCTGTGCAGATCCGGGGGCACCCCCCCTCCCCCCCCGGGACATGTGCAGCAGTGGGAGCCGCCAACCCTCCCCATGCCCCGTGGACGAGCCACGGTTCTGTCCTGTGCCCTGCCCCCCTCACCCCCTCTGTTCAGGGCCTGGCAGGGTGGGCTCGGAGGTCCTGGGGGCTCCATTCCCTCTAGCCTGGTGGCACAGCTGAGGGTGGCTCCTCTCCGGCCCCTGGCTCCAGGCCCCCCTGGGCAGTGCTGGTCAATGCTGCTCCCCACTACAGCTCTTTCCCCTCCTCCTGCCCCTTCCTGCCTGCCTGGTAGGGTTGGCACATGCGCATGCACATACTTAGCCCCCTCCCCCCCCAAATTCTTTCTCTGCCTATGGGGCTGCTCAAAATGGGACAGTTCCCAGCCATGTCCAGGCTGCATGTGCAGACTTCCCCACAGAGCCCAGGGCTGGCTGGAAACTGTCCCAGTCAGGGGTAGGTCCCATCCAGCTCCAGGCTGGGTGGAGAACCCTCTCCATGCAAAGAGTTCCCAGCCTGAGCTCTGTGATGGCAGAGCACAGGATGGGGAGCTTATTCCTAGCCCCAGCTCTGTGATGGTGAGCTAGAGCTGGGAGCAATTTCCCCAGCCCCCACTCCATGATGGCAGAGCAGAGACTGGTGCTCCCTGCTGCCGGGGCAGGGGCACATTGTCCCTTCCTGGGCTCCAGTGGGGGAGCCTGCCCTGACAGCAGGCAGCTCCTGGGGGCAGGGAGCAATTTCCCTCTCCCTGCTGCTTGGCTGATCTGGAGCAAATTTGCTCCTAGTTGGCTGTCTATATGTGCTGTACTGTGCAGTAATTAGTCATGAGTAAATTTGCTATTTGTATTTACATGTAGGATATTTACTCACAATTAGAGCAAATTACTGCACAGTAAGGGTCAGCACATAAAGACGGTGCCCCTTACTACACACAATAATTAGCTGTACTGTGTAGTAAAGAGTCTTGTGTAGACCTGCCCCTAGATCTGTTATTGCTGATGTGTGTTTACTTCACATGCTTAGTAGCTGGGTGTATACTTACGTGAACAGTTAATAAAATGCTTATTGCACAAGTAATAGAATCACAACTATGCAGAGTTGCCAAAAAATGCCACTTTCATGGCTGGAAAACTGCCATTTGGGTGTGGAAAGAGAATTCTGTACACGTCATATCCTCTGCTAGTCTATGTCAAAGCAGGTTTTGATTTTAGTGGTTCTGTGGAGGTTTAAACCACCAGTGTATCTGGCTTTTCAAGTTCTATCATGCCATGGTCTGTCTTCATCCATGTGACTGGTCCAGAGTTCATGTTGGAACCAGATTTCTCTAATGACAACTCTGAAAGAGGCTGGGGATAGCCTACCTTGTAGAACTTCACGAACAGCTCCTTGGCCTTAACATTACAGTAATACAATGTTCCTCTTCCAGTTTGCAAGAAAACACTGATGTCAGAAGAACTGTCCTAATAGTGCCAGGTAGCCTTTTAGTGAAGTGTGACTTTTGTATTATTATGTGAAATTTGGAGATTTTTTTTCTTTGACTTCTCTTCCAGGTGGTGCAGCTAGAGGAGCTTCTGGCTGTGCGACACTCTGTTTTTTTGGTGGGTAATGCTGGAACAGGCAAATCTCAGGTTCTGAAATCTCTTTACAAGACTTACCAAATAATGAAGCGTCGCCCTGTCTGGACAGACCTCAATCCCAAAGCAGTCACCAATGATGAACTTTTTGGCATTATCAACCCAGCAACAAGAGAATGGAAAGATGGTAAATGTATTCAGCTCCAACACCCTCAACAGTGAGAGTAAACTTAATCAAATACAATGACAGCAGTAACAATAGTTCTTTGCACTCATGCATAGTTCCAAAGCTCAAACGTTCATTCATCTGACATCTGCAGTATACTGTGGTTTTGTTGCTGATAGGACACGTGGGATACTCTAGCCATTCTAATTTTTAATGCGTTGTCTTGATGTAAATCTTGCTTTTATATAACTATACCATAAATATCAACTGCCTTGTTTGATAATCATGCTATGTACAAACGACTAAATGGAATAAGCTGCTGCTTATGATGGGCTAAACCAGAATGCTTGGGATATTTTCAAATCAGGAATTATCTAATTACATGAGAGTGGAAAGGGTCACTGTTACTCCACTGTATCTTGTCTTCATCATGCACATTTCACCCTCTCTCCACCATTAGCAATACAAATGTCAACGGCTTTTCCATAAAGATTTCCCATGCCTCACAAGTGGCATGTGCTGGCTCCTGGTCCCTTTGTAAAATACCAAATATTTTTATGTGTAAGTATTTATGTAGGGAAGAGTGATCATTTTGTGGACTTTGGGTCTGTTCTGCAGAGCTTCTGCTATATTTTCAGGATTATTATTCTTAATATTCATTATTTAATTCCCCTCAGTCACTGTGTTGTATCACAGTATCATATTGCTTAGAGTCGGAAGGGACCTAAACGGATTATCAGGTCCGACCCCCTGCCCCGGGCAGGAACAGATGGCAGGGTCATATCATCCCAGCCAAATATCTGTTTAATCTCCTCTTGAAGACCAAGGTAGGAGAGAGTACCACCTCACTTGGGAGCCCATTCCAGAGTCTAATTGTAAAGTAATGTCTCCTGATATCCAGCCTGAACCTTCTCTCTAACAATTTGTGGCTATTATTCCTAGTAACCCTGGGTGGTTCCCAGTGGAACAGAGCCTCCCCCAATTCTGGCAAGTCGGTCAGCAACGCGCAAGTCTTTGACTTCAGGAAAGCCGACTTTGACAAGCTCAGGAGGCTTGTCAGTGAGGCCCTAAGGGACCGTGACCACAGGGAGAGGGGAGTTCAAGAGGAGTGGTTGCTCCTCAAGGGAGCGATCCTCAATGCACAAACTAAGTCTATTCCATCTCG